TTCTAATCACCAAACGATGGTAGTTAACTATACAAATGTGATACTCTCCTACCATCATTGGTCAAAACGAAACGAACAACATTCTCTCTGTATTTTGAACAACTGAGGGTATTCCCACCATGATAATTCAAACCTGATTGACAGTTTAATATAATCTAGGCATAACACAATATGTCCACTAGTCTAACCTAGAATCCGTCCACGGATTCTTACACATTGTGCTCTGTTCCCTTTCATTATATTCATGCGTATATCATCCATCAACCACCGTACACACATCTCAACATAATAAGTAATGATAATATCATAGTCTCATCTTGACATACATCATTACTACATCAGAATTACATAGGCCATAATTACATACCTTGAATCAAATGTACCAAAACTAGTACAAAATAAACATGGCCATCAATGAAATACATCAGTATACATCATGTCCATACAGTCCATATACAACAAAGTCCCAAAATGACATCATATATTCGATTATACATATGCATCCAAATGTATAAAGGCTATCAAAAGTGCATGATTATACAATATATCCATCATGTCATATACATATACATCATGCTAATGCCACATCCCAAAATATATACATCCTCTAGCTCTACATGGGCCTCTTTCCCTGTGAAGCTCAACCACCGTCATTAAGGGTACCTGAAACATAATCCTCACACGGGAAGAGATAAAAATCTCAGTAAACCAATGGTCCTTTGAGGGTCACTCCACCCTTAGGTTCACTTCTAGTGCATATACAATAATAAAAGCAAAGTATAGCATACATTTCACAATCCATGGACTTCCAAGAGAGATCCGCCAGAACCGTTTCTCTTAGGCACTAACTACATGGAGATCCTCAAGGACTATATCCAAGGGAAGTCCATCGTACCACATACCATGTGATACCCCATTGGGAACTTCTAAGAGAGATTCGCCCGAACTCTTTCTCTTAGGCACTAATCAATTAGAGATCCTCAAGGATCGTGTCCAAGGGAAGCACTAGTGCCACATATTCCACTGGCCAAATAACCACACAACTCATACATTCAAGTAATTCATCATATTATATCAATGCATGATCATAACATTAACTAGTATTACATGTGTCACATCATATAAATCATTCCTCCCAAAAGGAGCACGATGGAACACATAAGGGGAATAACCCCAAGGTCCGATGGTTTACCTCTAGTAGACTTTCTTCCTTGCCAATCACAAAATTTTACCCACACTTTGTAACTTCACAAATAAGACTTATTCATAAGTTACCAATTAATTCAACATGCATATACCAATATATTCACATCAATCAACATTTTCAATTTTCAACAAGGATTTAGGTTGAAGACTTACCAAAAGCTTGGAATTTCAAGAACCTAAGCATGGTCACTTGGAGGCTCCAATGGAAGCTCTCCTATCACAACCTCACTTGGCTCCACACTATCATATCAAACAAGCATACACATTATCAACAACATCCATTTCTAAGATTACACATACAAGACAACTAGACTTGAGTTTTAGTCCAATTTTCGAAAATGAAATAAGTTATGGTTTCAATGATTTTTCTTGGCTAAAACTACATTCCTAACATAATTTGTGAAGGCACCAAGGCCCAAATCATCCCAACATAATTAACCATAGTAACCCCCTTTGATTACTCTCAATAACTCTAGTCTTAAACAAGTGTTGTCTCCAATGGGTGTTCCTCAACCACCAAATCACACGGCATAACGCTATAACATTAAACAACACCAAACACACCATTATAATCCAACCAAAGTGTCACAAAATAGAAATTTTGAAATTCCTTCACATGTTCATGAGCAATTTTTCAAAGGTTGTTCAAGTGGTAATTTCTTAATTTTTCCTTCATCAAGAACCAGTCCTAAGCATATTTTACAAAAGAACCTACACCATTTCAACACTTTAACCACACCAACCAATCTTTTCGGAATTTACACATAACAAAAGCTAGATTTGTCAAAACTCCATGAAAACTTGTAATAAGTGTAGGTTTCTTACCACAAATCACCTTAGGAGACTCGGAGATGAAGTTCCTAAGCTCCAATGAACTCAAAGGCTCTCAAAATCCATAAATCTTCCAATATTCTCGCAATTGCAAATAAAGAATATCTCACTTAACAATGCTCCAAATCCAAAAATAAGGTGAGAGTTTTGTTCTTAGGAGAAAACTAAACAACTTTGTCTTTGAATTCACTTGATTTCGTTGCCTCTAGCTCATTCTATGGTTTTTTGAAGATTCAAAAATGGGCAGGAAGGGGACCTCGATTTTGGCTTTCCAAGAAGGAGAAAGAAGAGAGAAAAATGTGAGGAGGGTGATGTGTCATGGTCACTTAAGTGGTTTGACCTTTGGTCAACACTTTAAATGAGAAATGACTAATTTAGGACTAATTCATGGATTAATTTAGGACTAGCCTAGTGGTGTGAGTGTTTGTAATAGGGTGTGTGTGAGTGTGTGGTGTGGGTGTTTGTAATAGGGTGTGTGTGAGTGTGTGTGTGTGTCTGTATTCGATTCCTATAACCTCCAAAAAAAATGACTAATTTACCTTAATGAAATCACCTCTAATCCATGAATTTGATCATCTAACATTTCTTTTAACATTCACTAAAATTATTTAATAGTACGTCACTACAGTATTTTAAAGTTTCAGGTAACATTTGCACAGTTGCATTTTTATCCGGAACCTTCATTAATTGTACTTTTGTTCCGAAAAGTAACTTTATTCTTATAATTAGATTTCTCATACAACTATCCTCATTATAATTTGATTCCCTAATTTTATGAGCTTAGGGTGAAGGGTATTTCACAAAATTAGTGCCCTGGTGGAAATTTAACCCGAAATTCAAGATTTTCACTCGATTAACCCTCTAATTAGACATTTATTTCTAATTAGTGTAATTTGATTATTTGAGTTATTATACTGACGATCAAGTTTTCTTTAAAAATTGCAACTTTATATTAACAAATTCTAATAGAACAAATTACACATAACAGAATGGACAATGACAGATTTCAAATTGACCAAGAAATTATTGAGGTGTTTTCAGCCTAGATTGAATTTGGGATCGCAAAGGTCAATTTGCCTTAGAAAAGAGTGTGATGCATAATTTTTCATCTGATATTTTACTATCTTTATTACTAGAAGAAAGAAGCCACTAGATGACAAAAATGTCATGTGTATGCTTTAAACCCTATTAACCAGTTTCATTTTCACCCTTCGGTTAATAATAATAATAGTATCTTTATTAATATCTTCATTTTTGCACAGAATTTATGATCAATTATGTGTCCAATTGAAAGACCCACCCCCCTCCGAAAAAACACCAGGGCAGTCCTGACAATTTTAAATACAAATATATCTAGTCTTATCGTACTTCACTGATAGTGGGATATGCGTATTTTGTTCGGATACAATCACTTCACACACAAATAGCTTACTTTCCCAAATCTAACTTCGAAAATAGGGTAGGATCTTGCACCTTCTCTATTAAAATAATGAACCAAGTCGGCAGTAAATTATTTACTATTCCCCATAAAAAGATTTGTAGCCTCATATGCAGGCAAATCCAGATCTTGTCACAATGACCGTGTAGCATGCTTTGTGGCCAACTTGAGTCTTCTCCACTGGTAACCAGAAATGCACTCCCCATTCTTGGTCCGGTGCCATGACATTCTACATCTCTAAATTGATGGAAGAGTGGGATGATGTCTGTTCTCCTTCCAGCGGCAGAAAAAATTGAGCAAAAAATATCCTTTTAATAGGCACCAAAGTATTATCAATTAGTTGAATGACATAAAAGAAAAAAATTAGGACTAAGCTGCACAAATTGTGCTAAAATGGTGACTAGAAACATATGATAAAATTTAAAATAACAATGCCTCTGAAAGTGTTAAAAGTTAATAGCCGCAAAAATTATACATCATAAAGGGGAACCTTGTTTAGCAAGCAAGAGTGTAGAGAATTAGTTCTTTTCATAGCCATAATAAAAAATTCCCGCGAGTAGAAGATTTTCCATGTATTTAGGGGTGTCAATCGACATAAACATGACACGAAAATTCGTGTTCAAGTTGACCCATATTTAAATTCGTGTTGTGTTCGTGTTGACAAAATATGACACGCAAAAATTCGTGTTGTGTCGCATGCCAACAAGCAAACACGCATTTGACCCGTATATTTTTAGCTATTTACCGTTTTGACCAACATGTTCATCCGGTTGCACCTTATGATGTAAGGGTAATTATGTAATGTGTTTTTCGTGGCGTGTCGTGTCAACCAGTACAAAAAATGATTCGTGTTGGTGTCAAGAACTCATAAGTTTCAATTTGTGTGTTATCCGTGTTGTGTCGTGTCAACAAGCAGAATTTGCAGGTCGTGTTCATGTTGAATATTTTGAAATGAATAAAAATTCGTGTTGCGTTTGTGCTGATGTATTTGAGTGGTTTCAATCAGAATTGATACCCCTACGTGTATTATATATGCTTCAATTACAGATTCAGACAGATAGCCGTGTCAAACAATTTATGTTCAACAACTACCATATTTACAAACAATGTAAATCTGAGTGTATGATGCTTGGAAAAATTTGAAATGACAGATCTAGAAGAGTTTCGGTTACTAAGCCTAATCAGTCATTTTACACACAAGGCTTATCGATTATAAATATTATTAGTTCAACTGCATCAACTGTTAAGCAGATTCGAAGTTCCACAGCTACAAAATATTGGTTAATTGGTACGAATAATTTCAGCAAAGACTCTTGAGTCTTAAATACAGGAAGAAATACTGGGAGTAAACTTACTCAACTTTGTCAAATCTTCGAGACTATCAAAGCCAAATAATCACAGAAAGACTACTTATATGGTAGAAATATACAAAGCCTACAACATTTGGAATATTGGTCCACTGAACCCACAAACCTTAAATATTATTGTTAATAATAAATCCAACTTTAGATTCAACTACGTATAGGTTGTCTTGTTTGTTACATTAGCAAAAAATAAACCAGCCCTTAAAACAGTAATTTGCATAATGTTTCCCTTTCTGCATTCTTTTCTTTCTCAGAGGCAACACACACATACACACACTAATGGATGCTTATCTCATCAAGAAATATTTATTTGAGAAGTAGTTGAACAATGGTAGTAACATACCAATTTTCCAGCCATCCAAGGTTGAAATCACTTATTGCTCACACCGGCAAATAGATCTATTAAAAGAAACATGAAATAAGTTATGGTATTTATTACAGTAACACGTAAGCTACAAATTCACAAAGTTATACCCATCAAAGAATAACAAAAAAACTACCACTTTAGCTTACCTGTGAATGTTTGCCAGAAGTCTATCTATTTCTTCCATGTCAAACTAACATTTACATCACTATCCATTCATTTTTCGTGTCTGACAATAATAATGCGGTGGAAGTTGAGCGTGAGCATCTCTAATCACATGATTGATATGCATTTCTGATTGAAGTCCTTCTGAAGCAGCAAAAATATCATTGGCAATTGGAAGAATCTACCCAACTATACCCTGCTTGCTTCTTGATCTTTTTTTCTTCCATCAACACTCTCACTCTCTCAGCATCATCCCATTGTCCTAAATTAGCATACATATTATATAACAACACGTAAGGAGCAGAACTTTCTGGTTCGAGCCTGATCAAAGCTTCGGCTGCTATTTTGGCCAATTCTACATTATTATGCACTCTACAAGCACCTAGTAATGCACCCCATACAGCCTTATCTGGTTTAAATGGCATGCTATTTATCAAATCCTTAGCTTCCTGAAGCTGCCCCTGCCGTCCCAAGATGTCCACAAGGGAGGCAAAGTGCTCAACCCGTGGCTCAATACCATAGTCATTAATCATGGAATTGAATTGCCTCCTCCCTTCTTCAACTAATCCTGCATGGGCGCATGCACTCAAAACCGAAATAAAGGTTATATAGGTAGGGTGAATTTTAAGCCTTTTCATCAGTTTGAAAAGCTCTAAAGCCTCTGGAGCTAAACCATGAGATGCATAGCCTCCAATCATTGCATTCCAAGTGATCACATCTTTATAAAGTTTCATCTCATTAAATACAGTGCATGCATCAACTATTGCCCCACATCTCGAGTACATGGTAATGAGGGAATTATTTATTGGCAAATCTGGAAGAACAGTCTTTGTGACAAGCTGATGTATCTGCTTACCAAGGTAAAGATCCACCAACCCAGTACACACACTGAGAACTGAAGATAAAGTGTGTCTATCTGGCCTCTCTCCCTCAAGTTGCATCTGAGAAAAGAGCGTAATAGCACCCTTATAGTCTTCATTTTTCTCGTAGCCAGCTATTAGTGAGTTCCATGATATCAGGTTTTTGCAGGACATCCTATCAAAGAAATCTCTTGCAAGTTCTAAATTACCAATCTGCGCAAACCCAGATATTATCGAATTCCATGAAAGTGCATCAGGACTTGGCATTTTCCTGAAAAGCTTTGAGGCCTCATCCATGTCGGAGATTTGAACATAGCCACTGATCATGGTGTTCCAGGAACAAGTATCCCGCTCCATCATCCTATCAAATAGTTCCCTAGCAGAAACAATGTCTCCTGCTTTTACATAGCACATCATCATTGAATTCCACGAGACCACATTTCGCCTGAATCTCCTTTGACCCTCATTTCCATCACCTTGATCATTTGGGATTGCATCAAAAAGGCACTGAGCTTCTTCCACCTTGCCCCTTTGGCCAAAGCCAGCGATCAGGGTGTTATAAGCTTGCACCAAATCATCTTTCCCGTCATCCTGATTCCCACATTCAAGCAGAATCCTAGCAGCCATATTCAATTCATCATTTCTTACAAGCCCAGATATAAGTGCGCTAAGAGAAGCCGAGTCATGCTCAGGCATTGTCTTGAAAAACCCAACAGCTGAATCCACATCGCCATTCAACAAGAACCCAGTGATCACAGCATTGGAGGACACAACATTCCGTTCAGGCATGGTCCTGAAGAGCTTCAAAGCCTGGTCCATCCCACCATTCTTCGCATACCCGCTGATGACAGTGTTCCAAGAGACACAATCTCTTTGGGGCATTAGATCAAACAGCTTTCTTCCTTCATCGACAAACCTGCTTCCGCGGCACGAAAAGTAACCAGATATGATGAGGTTCCAGGACACAATGTCCTTGTGGGGCATTTCGTCGAACAGTTGGCGCGCCTTGGCAATCTCTCTCCGATGCACGTACCCACTAATCATGGAGTTCCAAGTTACGGTGTTTCGGTGCTTCATGGAATCAAAGAGTGCCCTCGCTTCGCTTAGTCTACCAGTTCGAATCAAATGGGTTATCTTTTTGTTGGATTGGAACAGCAACTGTGGTGTGTTGTTGGTTTTAGTTAGAGAAGCGAAGCCACAACAATAGTGGATACGAGGGAGTTCTATGTTTCGCTTGCTCAGTCTCAATAGAGCGCCGTACAATGTTGCCATTGTCGAAACGACGAAAACGGAGACACCGATTGCACAACTTTGTCTGGTTACTTGGTAAATATCAACTGAACGACCGCCGTTTTAGCCTTGTGTTCCAAGTTTTCTCCGTGTCATCGAGGCCACACGTCCTGCTCGAAATTGAATTGGACCAATCAAAAGCTACAAAATAGGTGTATAAAGTGCGGGAAGATTATGCGAAGACCAATTAGTACAGAGCACGATTACACCGACCCATATTTTGCTTGTTATTTGTGTCGTATTATGTTAACCCCGCAAAAAAATAAATCATATCGTGTTAGTGTTGAAGATTTTGACATGAATAAAAATTCATGTCGTATTCGTGTCGATGTATTCGTGTCGTGTCAACCCGTGTGTTCGTGTTGATGTATCCGTGTCGTGTCAACCCGTTTTGACACCGCTAAGGATTATGCTTTAAAATTTGATATAACATAAAGGAAAAAAGGTGTGTCATTTTGTATCTTTTTATTCTCATAAAGAGATAAGACTCACACTTTTAAAAAAAATTCTCCCTTCTTTCTTATGATTTATCTCTTTCTCTCGACACAACTTTGTGTCCTTTAAAATGATACACGTTTTCCCCTAACATCAAACATAATTAAGAAATTTGATATAAACTTTTTTTTTGGAAGCTAGGCAGAAAAAATATTCTTCCGTAAAGACAAAAATATAGAGAGAGAAAACAAAAACACGAGAGAGAAAGTATATGATGGGGCCGCTCCAATTTATGTCATTGTTGCATAATATTTTTTCTAACTTTGGAACAGAATTGATATTCTCTTCTTCTTTTTTAGGTAAAAATACGAGGCTAAGCCAAAAAGAAAAAAAAAACGCCTTGAGGGGGCGTTTGATAGAGGAAAAAAAATTATAAGGAAAATACAATTATTAGGAATATGGTGGAAAAGTGAGCTTGGTAGGAAAGTTAAAAAAAAAGTTGTTTGGTACGCTAAAATTTTACCAGAGAAATTGGGTTAAATTTTCTGAGTCTATGTTTGGTTGAAGGTAAAATATCGATGAAAAAATGGGTTAAAAATACTAAAATAACCCTTTTTTACTGTTTGAATGTGAATAACCCTTGTATAAAGTATCAGTGAGTGTGTCTTCGACATTTCTACCAACGTCAATATTCAAGTTTTCATATCTCTATATTTCTCTCTTTCTTTCCTTTCTCCGTCTATATATTTTGGAGAAAGAATTTATCATTGCATGAGGTGGTTGCAGATAATGAGATAACTTTTGCAAATCACCTTAATCGAGCTTGCAGGATGCAGATCAGGTGTTGGAGAAAAAAGTGCGATCTCGTTTTTCACGTAGAAAGCTGTTGTTTTTACCACCTTCACTCTCAGAGGTGGATAGATTGTAATTTCCACTAGACTCGACTGAATATGAGGTTCAACACATTGTATTTAGAAGAGGGTATTTTTGTCTGTAATTTCTTGCTCTTCTTGCCATTTAGCCGGTTAACTACAAATACCACCTTCCAAGTGGTATTTGAAAACAGTATTTTTTATCCCATTTTCCAAACATTTCTCAAACACTTCTCAAACACTGGGCAAATAAGTTTGTTGGGAAAATATTTGAATATCCTGTATCAAACATGGACTACACAAAATACCAAAGTCAGATGCATGGTATCTTTTGTGAACTCTCATATCAAACACTACCTAAAAAGCAGAAATGTCCTATAGATTTATAAGTCTTATGTAAATAACATAAATAGCCATCTAATTTACAAGGTTTGTTGCATTTGTGATCCTATCCACCTTTAATCCTTTGGGTAAGCCCCAAAGTTTCACCTGTAAAGGTTCACGGTCCCAATTTTGTAGGTTAAACCAATGATCTAAGTACTTTCTCGTCTCGAAATACCCCATCACACGCAACTTTGTTCAGAGGCTATTTAATTGCTACATCCACAATAAGCTTCCGGCCACCACCCTTTTTGAGGAGGTTGCTAACCTATGGTTGAGTGGTTCGGTGAAGGAAGCAATGATAACTCTTTCTTCTTTTTGTTGATCTAACATCTGAAACATAGATTAAGATATCTTATATTCGATTAAGGGTCGAGTGAAACCTAGAACATGTATCTTATTGTTTCTCCATAGCCATAGGACTAGACGTGTAATAATGAAAATATATCTCTAGTCCAAGCCCAAACATGTATCATGTCCATTGATCCTACCAGAAAATAACCTCTTGCCCATCCTCGACATCGATCCCAATTTAAATTATGTAGGAGTCTTGTCATATATGATATAATCATCACCAAAGAGAAAAATCATATTTTTGACATTTATCTGTCTTCTTAAGTCCATGCCCGCCCATATATATTTTGCAAGTAAAATCGGGATCCATAGCTTGCTTCATTAAGATCTACCATGCTATTTTATGGAGAAATGCATCATTATGGTATTGTAGGAAAAGAATGTCAAGACCGTCAGATTCCTTGGACGACAAAAAAACTCCTAAAATATTAGATGGGCTTTCCTATGAGTCTTTGTATCTCCTTATATAAATCCCCGTTGAACCTGTTCAATTTCATTATAGATTGACAGGGGTATTACTCTATGTTGCATTTGATAGAGGGATAGTTCATAATACAAAGTTAGCCGGGTGACTCAGTCAGCAAATGAAAGGTTTTGCTTCTTCTATACCAGACTTGCTGGCAAAAAAATTTAAATATTGTTTTTTAATAAATAATTACGCAAATGTAGTTGTTTTGAAACTATTTACGCAGGTATAGCAGTCAAACACGTCTACATGGGACGTGACCCAGTGGAGAGAGACACGCGCATCTGGGGCGTGACATAAGAGCGAGGCACGCCCATATGGGGTGTGACCCAGTTGGAGAAAGACACGCGCATTTGGAGCGTGACCTATGTGAGAGACACGCCCACATGGGGCATGACCAGGAAAGAGACACGCCCAATAGGGGCGTGACCTTCCTGGTAAAAAATTTTGCCCAATTAAAAAACTCGACTAGAAGAAAGCATTGTTTTCTCCCTCTGAGGTATTGGGGTTGTTGGGGTAGCTTCTTTTCTCCCTCTGCGGGACCCTAAATTTTTGTTAACTTCCGCGTGGAAAGCATTGTTCTTAGGACGACTAGAAGAAGAGGAAGCCATAGTTGCTTCCGCTTTGATTTCTTTGGTCATTATTTGCTAGTTTTATACGTACTAATGTTGGTTGAACATGTGATTTCATTTCATTTTTTTTAATTCAAATTTGGGAGTGTGAAAGCTATTATCCAGTACCCCATTGCTGATTCTAGATGGCGTATGGACAAAACATTAAACGACACACATACATGTAATGTAATGTAAGACAAAGAAGTCATGCCATTGCGATGTAGTAAGATTATATATACATTTTATATATAATAGATTGAAGTAAGAAGAAATGTGCTGGGTGAAGTGTGTTGTGTTTATTCTTACATGGAAAGATGAGAGTGACAAGAACAAGCAGATGAAGTGAATACTCATGTTGAGCTGTTGAGTGTGTTATATTGACCAGGGAGGTCACGCCCTTGTTGGACATGACCCAGTGGAGAGAGACACGCCCCATGTGGGCGTGTCTCTCACATACATCACTCCCCATATGGGCGTGTCTCTCTCCACTGGGTCATGCCCCATGTGGGCGTGTTTGACTGCTTTACTTGCGTAAATAGTTTCAAAACAACTACATTTGCGTAATTATTTATTAAAAAAGAATTTTTTTGCCCAGACTTGTTACTATTCCAAAGAACTTGGAATTGAGGTGATTGTACATAGGACATAATAAGGTCCACTAGAGGACTGGATATACCAATCTCAGTGAGCAATCTTCGTATGAAACTCCAATACAATTAATCTGTCATATTTTTTTCTAAGCCTATTTTAATAGACATATATGTTTATCTACCTATTAGCCGGTTCATTGAGTGAGTCATTTCTCGGGCCATAATCACATTATCATGAATATTCCACCCTGGTACAAAATTGGTCTGAAGAGGGGACATTAGTTTGTCTATAAAAGTTTCAATTTGTTAACTAGAATCTTTATGGCCTTATAAAAAGCATTGTAATGGAATATAGGTCTAAATTGCCCTACCTTTTCTGACTTCTCTACTTTAGGGATGAGATTTAAGAGAGTTGCTTTAAGGATGGTAATATATTATTAGGAATTTTCAATGAAATCTCTAACATCATTGCATAACCCATCCACAATTAGCTCTTAATTCCTTTGAAAAATGTTGTTGGAAAGCCATATATAACAAGTGCTTTATGAGGTATTATTTGAAAGAAAGATGTTTTAATTATTTCTTCACGGGAAACCAGTCTTTGGAGGGATATTCTCTCATTTTCTCCCAAACAATGTCTCCATTTGATGTCACCCACGGTCTCTTCAGTGAATAATTTTTTTATTTTTTGTGTGCAAAAACCACCACCACCTACCCAACCGCATTATCATCTCTAACCTAGTAACCCATCTCATTTCTTAGAGAAATGATCTTATTTTCTTTCTTTCTTCTAGTGATAGTCCTGATAATCCATTTGCTTCCTCAAGACTGTATTCGTAGTATCCAAATTTGTTTTTGAATCTTGACTTCCACTAATCCTGGGCTCCAATATAACCATTATCTCAACTTTATATTCTTTGGTAAAGGTTGTTATGGTGCCTTTGAAGCATTTTTTTGTTGAATAAACGTTAAATGTTAGTTTTATTTTTAGTGGGAATAATTTAGCAGACGTTAAATGTCAGTTTTATGTTTTTTAAGTTTCTGAAGTTATGTGAGTTTATTGTGGTGTTAAGTGTCTTTATATTTTTCTTGTGGAGTTACAAGTTTTGTAATTTAAAAATAATTGTTTGAATGTGAAATAAATTACTTTTGCCTTAGTGAAAAATATATCTCATATGTTTTTTTTACTCTTCTCCCTTCAAATTGGTATCAGAGCCAATGGAGAGTGTGATCGGTAATGTGTTGCTACCCTGACTGATGAAGGCGAACTACGAGAATTGGAGCATCCAAATGAAAGCTCTTCTCGGGTTTCAAGACGGTTGGGAGGTGGTCCAAGAAGGTTTCGAAGAACCGGCAACTCCCGCGGGATATACGGTGGCTCAAAACAAGTCGTTGAAAGAGACGCGGTCGAAAGATAAGGCGGCGTTGTACATGTTGTTCTGAGTTGTTGACGAGTTAGGCTTTGAGAAGATTGCGAGTGCGACAACTTCAAAAGAAGCGTGCGACATTTTGGCAAAGGTGTACAAAGGAACCGACCGAGTTAAACAAGTCCGCCTTCAAACTCTTCGCGGCGAGTTGGAAGGCATGAAGATGAAGGAGCCAGAAGATGTCTCTAACCACATCACGCGTGTTCAAACCATGGTGAACCAACTCAACCGAAATGGAGAAGCATTAACCGATGCGCGAGTTGTGGATAAGATTTTGCGGTCGTTAACCGACAGTTTCGAGAATGTCGTATGTGCCATAGAAGAGTCAAAGGACCTAGCAACGCTCACGGTCGACGAGCTCGCTAGTTCTCTCAAGGCACACGAACAACGTTAGAAAGAGAAGAAGGAGGAGTCACTCGAGCAAGCACTTCAAACCAAGGCATCAATCAAAGACGAAAAGGCACTCTATTCTCAAAACTTTCGAGGTAGAAGGTGTGGCCGTGGAAGCCGAGGAAATGGTCGCGGTGGTAGAGGTCGCGGTCAAGAAAGGTATTATGAGGAGAAGGGGCAATCAAACCAACAAAATTGGCGTGGAAGAGGACGCGGTCGTGAGAGAGGCGGTCGGTCTAATTATTCCAAAATCGAGTGCTACAAATGTGGCAAATATGGTCACTGTGCAAAGGATTGCAACTCTGATAAGTGTTACAATTGTGGCTAGTTGGGGCATTTCGCGAAAGAATGTCGAGTCGAGAGAAAGGTGGTAGAGACAACCAACCTAGCCACGGAAGATGAGGCGAAAGAAGGTCTTATCATGATAACACACAACGAAGGAAACACCGACAATGACACGGTGTGGTACCTCGACATGGGTGCAAGCAACCATATGTGCGGGCACGAGCACCCATTCAAAGAGATGCGTAAGGTGAAAACTAGACGTGTCGTTTGGAGATGCATCAAATGTTAAGGTTAAAGGCCAAGGTACGATTTGTTATTTACAAAAGGATGGCTTAGTTGGGTTAATCCAAGATATGTATTATGTATCAGAACTCAAGAACAACATTTTGAGTATGAGGCAACTCATGGAGAAAGGTTATTCGATACTTATGAAAGACCAGGTTTTACACTTGAAAGATAAGCAAGGGCGTTCGATCGCTCGAGTTGAAATGGGGAGAAATCGCATGTAAGCTGAATTTGAGAAGCGTGTGAGAAAAATGTTTGCAAGTCGATGTAGAAGACAAGGCGTCGCTATGGCATCTCCGTTTTGGACACCGACATCATGGTGGTCTAAACAAGTTGGCGAAGAAGAACATGGTGCACGGGCTACCAGACATGGACTACGAGGGAAAATTTTGTGAAGAATGTGTGCTCGGCAAGCATGTGAGAACTTCGTTTCACAAGAAGGCAGAATATCGAGCTAAGCAACCTCTTGAGTTGATTCATACCGACACATGTGGACCAATCACCCCCGAATCTTTTAGCGGTAAGAGGTATTTCATTTCCTTTATTGATGATTTCTCACGAAAAACTTGGGTTTATTTTTTGAAAGAAAAATCTGAGGCGTTCGAGGTGTTCAAAAAGTTTAAAGTGATGGTGGAAAAGGAAATCGGTAGACACATCAAATTCGTACGATCGGATAGAGGTGGCGAGTATAATTCAACGGTTTTCATGGAGTATTGTGAGGAGCAAGGCATAAGGAGATTTCTATCCGCACTGTACTCTCCACAACAAAACGGTGTGGCCAAGAGGAAGAATCGGATCATTCTCGACATGGTTCGGTCAATTCTCAAGAGCAAGAAGATGCCGAAGGAATTTTGGGCGGAAGCCGTGCAATGCACGATCTATGTGCAAAATCGTTGTCCACATGCAAAGTTGGATGATCAAACACCGCAAGAGGCGTGAAGCGGACAAAAACTGACAGTTTCTCATCTTAAAGTATTCGGTAGTGTGGCCTATGCACACGTGCCGGATCTGCGAAGAACGAAGCTTGAAGACAAAAGCAAAATGTATATTTTTATTGGATATGATGAGAAAACAAAAGGATACAAGCTACTCGACCTGATAAGCAAGAAGGTTGTGGTGAGTCGTGATGTACGAGTTAATGAAGGAAGCGAGTGGGATTGGAATAACTCAACGAAGGTTATTATCGAAGTTGGAGAATCATCAACCGCTACACCAACAACCATACCGACAAATCCTGAAACTACTGATGATGAAGATGAACTACGACAACCCAAAATGAGAAGTTTGCAAGATTTGTATGATTCGACAAATGAGGTACACCTTGTATGTCTTTTGTCGGATTCTGAGAACAATAGTTTTGAAGAGGCGATGCGAGACAAGAAGTGGCAAACTGCAATGGACGAGGAGATTAAAACAATTGACCGCAACAACACATGGGAGTTAGCGGAATTGCCGAAAGGAAGTTTGCCCATTGGTGTGAAGTGGGTGTTCAAGAGAAAGATGAATTGACTATGACAAGGTGTTTGCTCCCGTTGCTAGAATGGAGACAATCTGATTGCTCATTTCACAAGCGGCTCAATTCAAATGGCCGATATTTCAAATAAATGTCAAGTCGGAATTCTTGAATGGTTTGTTCGAAGAAGAAGTCTACATCGAATAACCACCCGGGTACATGAAAATCGGAGAAGAAAAAAAGGTGCTGAAATTGAAGAAGGCGCTTTACGGGTTGAAGCAGCACCGCGTGCATGGAATACTCGTATCGATACATACTTCAAGGAGAACGGGTTTGATCAATGTCCCTATGAACATGCCCTTTATGTGAAGAACAGTGGAGGTAATTTGTTATTTGCTTCTCTTTATGTTAATGACCTTATTTTTATGGGGAACAATGATGAGATGATACAAGAGTTTAAGAGCACAATGACACGAGAATTCGAGATGACAGATCTGGGTTTGATGAAGTTTTTTCTTTGTCTGGAGGTAAGACAAGGAGAGACAGATATTTTTGTGTCACACGAGGTATATGCAAAGGAGATTTTGAAGTACAAGATGGAAGATTGCAACCCGGTATCAACACCAATGGAACCGGGTGCAAAACTCTCGAAGTTCGATGGAGGAGAACAAGTTGACGCGAGCAAATACCGAAGTTTGGTGGGAAGCCTTCGCTATCTCACATGCACAAGGCCAGACCTTTCGCTAAGTGTTGGCATTGTAAGTCGGTTCATGGAGGAGCCAGTTTATTCACATTGGAAGGTGTTGAAGCGAATCCTACGGTATATCCAAGAAACAGTGTCACTCGGGTTATTCTATTCAAATTTGAAAGTTTACAAGTTAATTAGGTACTCCGACAGCGATTGGTGCGGAGACTTAGACGATCGGAAAAGCACATCGGGATATGTGTTTTTTATGGGTGACACAACATTTACTTGGCTTTCAAAGAAGCAACCGATTGTGATGCTCTCGACATGTGAAGTTGAATATGTGGCAGTGTCTTGGTGTGTATGTCATGCAATATGGCTCAGAAATTTTTTGGGAAAGTTGGAGCAACAACAATTCAATGCGACTGTGATACGAGTTGATAACAAACCAACAATTGAGTTGGCAAAGAACCCGGTGAATCATGAGAGAAGCAAGCACATTAACGTTCGCTTTCACTTCATCCGAGACCATGTGAAGGAAGGAAGTGTGGAATTAGTACACGTGGCAAGTCGGGACCAAGTCGCGGTTATCTTCAAGAAATTGATCGGCATGAAGGATAGCAGAAGCATTTGAGTTTACGGGGGAATTTTGTTGAATAAACGTTAAATGTTAGTTTTATTTTTAGTGGGATTAATTTAGCAGACGATAAATGTCAGTTTTGTGTTTTTTAAGTTTCTGAAGTTATGTGAGTTTATTGTGATGTTAAGTGTCTTTATGTTTTTCTTGTGGAGTTACAAGTTTTGTAATTTAAAAATGATTGTTTGAATGTGAAAGAAATTACTATCCTATGTATATCATTTTCTACATGTGTAATGTTGAATGGGTTTAAAGCATATGTATTAGGAAAATTGTCTGCATCAATCTGCATGGAGTTATGATTTTGAGTTTGTTCAAGTTATTATTGCATGCCATTCGCCGCCACTGGAGTAGATTTTCTCTGTTGATCATTGTAACTTTTTTCTTTGTTGGCTCATCTTTCTGATTGTATACAAGATCAACTATTATTCCATCTCTCAATACCTCGTACTTGTCCCTACCTTCCACGAGGATAGTTTTTCCTTTGCGAGCTTCCGTATGCAAATTATATGGGGTTTTTTTTTTGTATAACCTGAAGGGTATCCCATTCAACCTCCTCCGGTTACTTGTTCTCGGAGTACGGCCCGGAAGCTATCCCTCATTCATTACTGAAGGAAGAATGAGACTAATCCCCCTTCGAGAAAAGAGGCACATCCTCTGGCCCCAAAGATTTTCCAAGAATTTGTTTGAAACATTATTTGAACCCCTAACCCAAGCAAATTCTTGGAAGTTCAGTTGCCAACTGAGCTACCATCGGGGGGTTATTATTTGGGTTTTTTCATTGATGCTTCAAGTACTTCATGTGGGGTGGGGTCACTTCGTTTCCCGTTAACCTTCATATATAATCTCGATCCCCCTCTGAATCTAATAACGTCAACACTTAGAACCCATAATCATTATGTTGTACGTTTTTAAATATGGAGGAGTTACTTTTAACGTCCTATTTTGAATGTTCGTTTGTAAACTATACGATACGTGGATGAAGCCATTATAGTTTAGGAGACTAGCTGTGGCCGTTGTCGGCTTTGATTTTGAACTGCTAATTTTGGCATTATAGATTCTGGCATAACGATCTCTTGTTTTCTCCATTGTCGTTATATCAATTCTGATTGTTATACTAATTTTGTTTATAACCCACCGATTTCAAGAAAAGCCTTTCATAATGTCCCATTGGGACATCTAACAAGCTAATATACACTGCTATTTTCTTAATTGTATCCCCATAGGGATTAAATTCAGGTTCACACTGTCTTATAGTAAGATAATGATCTAGCTAGGATGATCCATAGATCTCCATTCAGTGTGACCGTAAGATCCTCCTTCGCAAAAAAAAATTACTAATGAAATGCTCATTTCCAATGTTAAAGACTGTAATTGAACCTCTCTAAGCCTAGAATGTTTCAAGCTTCTTCTTTATATATGAAAGTAGCCTTTTGTAGGCCATGAACATAAAAGAGGGAAAAAGTTAAATTTTTGTGCGGAAGAAGCAACCTTTACCCACCCTCAATCATGTTCAACCCATGAATCATGCAATATACATGTTAGGGTTTAAAGTTGATACCTTTATTCGGATAATTATTCCTGATCAAATGGGTTCTTGATCAATTCTTCAGACTTGAAGAACACAAGTCCTCCGATGGAAATTCACACCACCTTGTTGTCTTGTAAGAGAAGAACACTTCTTCGAATGCCCAATATCCTTCAATGGAGGTTGCTAGACTCAATAGAAGAATACAGATTGGGCGGTGCCTTTGGTTATTCCAAGAGAGAGATAGCCGCCACACTGATGTGTGTTGGCTAAGGTTTTTGTGGAGAAAATTAGAGAAGAAGAGATACAAAACTAAGAAAGAAGAAGGGCTATATATAGATGTGGCACCTCATTTACCTACGACTAGGTCAAATCAGCGCCCTCATCAAATCCTAATCTTATTGGGTAATTTCTGTAATTTTATCCAATCAATCCAATTGATTGGTTTCCCCCATTTCAGCCAATTAATTTAATTAATTGGTTTTCTTAATTTTATCCAATCAATCCAATTGATTGGTTTTCCAAATTTCATCCAATTAATTTAATTAATCGGTTTCCTTAATTTTGGTCAATCAATCCAATTGATTTGTTTCCCTAATTTTAGCCAATTAATTTAATTAATTGGTTTCCTTTAATGTTGGTCAATCAATCCAATTGATTTGTTTCTCCAATTTCAGCCAACTAATTTAATTAAGAGTAAATACCCTTTTTAGTCCCTGGCAATATCCACGAAGGCCTTTTCAGTCCCTAGCAATAAAAAAGGAACAAATTGATCCCTGAAATTACAAAAAAAGGGGTCACGTTGGTCCTTCTGTGAACTCCACCGTAACGGCCCAACTAACGGTGCTCATGTGGCACGTTAGTGTGCTGATGCGGCTTGGACGTTGGACAGCGTGGATGAGCAAACGACGACATTTTGTTGCAAATGGGTTCAGAGCTTTCCAAAGTAGGGCACGACGTCGTTTCTTGCTTTGATCATGAACCCTAAATATGAAAATACCCCAAATTCCTTCAATCGAACCCTAAACAGACACAAATCCCCCAAATTGATGAGCAAAACCCTAAACAGCAATACGCCCCCAAAATCTCTGGACGTTGATGATTGAAACTCGACGACAGTAGAGGACATCAACCGAATTTGTTGGGCGTGGGAGAAGATGAGTGTTTCTTCTGGCATGGGGGGATCAAGTGGGAGTACTTCAATGGGGGGAAGAACACTAACAAGGACCGCCGGTCGTAGGTGCAAATGTGGGAGACAAAGTATTGTATATACCTCCAAAATGAGAGAAACCCAAACAAGGCTTTCCTTGAGTGTCCTAATTTCAAGGACTGCATGAGCCAACTGGCAAGGACTGCATATAATGTGGGAGTAGTGCATGAGCCAACTGACAAGGAGTAGTGGGAATAATGCATGTGCCAACTGACAAGGACTGCATATAATGTGACTGACTTTTTTGTAAATTTTGGCCATTATGTTTTTGGAGGCCTCATATAGTCAATGTTTTTTTTTTTTGAATTATGGCCATATTGTATTTAGGGGCCTTTCTTTTCATTCCTGGCAGTTGGCTTTATTTTGTAATGCACTACTCTTTTGTAGTTCTTTGACAAATATATTTAACTGAGATATGTTTGTTAACTGAGTATTGCATGTGTACTGGTTGAACATATTGGACAGCATCTGTATCTGATGTATTGCACTTCTGTTTTGAACAAATTTGGACTGCATACAAAAGCAGACAAGTATGTGCAGCCATTTCTCTGTTTAGGGACTAACTGAGTTATGTAATTGTAGTTGTTGGACCTCCATGTCATCTGTTATGCACTTTTGTTCTGTAAACTTGTACTGGACAGAAAACCAATGAAGTCATGTCCTATTTTTCTGTGGTCAGGGACCAAAATGGGCCCCGTGTATTTTGTCAGGGACCAAAATGGTACTCGATGTAATTTGTCAGGGACCAAAATGGCCCTCGTGTTTTGCCCTGGTTAACAAATGTGCATAACAATATGGAACTTCTGTAATAGCAATTCATGATTTTTGCATCTATATCTGTACATGGGTGGTTTGTGATACAATGTAGCAAGCTATTGGCCTTCATTCCATGCCTAACTATGCAATATACCATACTAAAAGAAACTTAGCATCCAGTAGTGCAGTAGTTGATACACAAATATATGATGCCAGAAGATATATAGGAATACATTGAAAGCTTCTTTATAATAGGCCATATGATACCATACACAAACAGACAGATTTGAACAACAGAGAATGTTCCATATAATACAACCTTCTTCATTAATTTGTATAACAGCAGTACTGAGTACTCATTACAATTCATTGAAGGAAAAATACATTGGGGTAACTTGTTTTCACTTTTACCTCACTAACAACAAACATACAGATGATGATCACACCAACACAAGCAGCACCTAAGACCCTAGCTGACCTATCAATTGTCCTAATTTGTTTGTCCATCCTATCTAACTCCTCCACCATCTTCAGGTATACATCATTCAGTTTTCTTTCCTGCTCATGAAGCTTCATTCCTTGCTCAGTAATCTTCACATCTTGATCTCTCATCATCATGTCCACATACTTCAACTTGAAATTAATTTCAGCAACATCCTACTCCACAGTGTGAATTCTTGCTTCTTCCAGCTCCATGGGTTCATTACACTGTCATCTACCCATCTAAAAAAAATCACAATAGGGCTTCTTCTCCTGCAAAAAAAAACCACGGTTAGCAAGTGTTTCAACTTAATAAAGGGGCACATTACACATGTATACCTTGAAATTAGGACACCCAAGGAAAGCCCTGTTTGGGTTTCTCTCAGTTTTGGAGGTATATACAATAGTTTGTCTCCCACATTTGCACCTACGATCGGCGGTCGTTGTCAGTGTTCTTCCCCCATTGAAGTACTCCCACTTGATCCCCCCATGCCAGAAGAAACACTCATCTTCTCCCACGCCCAGCAAATTCGGTTGATGTCCTCTACTGTCGTCGAGTTTCAATCATCAACGTCCAAAGATTTGGGGGCGTATTGTTGTTTAGGGTTTTGCTCATCAATTTGGGGGATTTGTGTCTGTTTAGGGTTCGATTGAAGGAATTTGGGGTATTTTCATATTTAGGGTTCATGATCAAAGCAAGAAACGACATCGTGCCCTACTTTGGAAAGCTCTGAACCCATTTGCAACAAAACGTCGTCGTTTGTTCATCCACGATGTACAACGTCCAAGCCGCGTCAGCAGACTAACGTGCCACATAGGCACCGTTAGTTGGGCCGTTACGGTGGAGTTCACAGAAGGACCAACGTGGCCCCTTTTTGTAATTTCAGGGACCAATTTGTTCCTTTTTTATTGCTAGGGACTAAAAAGGCCTTCGTGGATATTGCTAGGGACTAAAAAGGGTATTTACTCTTTAATTAATTGGTTTCCTTAATTTTGGTCAATCAATCCAATTGATTTGTTTCCAATCAATCCAATTGATTGGTTTCCTTTATTTTCTCCATTTTCAATAAATCTAATTTAATGATTATATTTAAATTCTAATTTCAAATTAAAAATTCAAAATTAGAATTTAAATTAATTTTATTTAAATTCAAATTTCAAATTTGAAATTTGAAATTATAATTCAAATTAATTTTATTAATTTAACATTTAAATTAATTAGGTTACATCATGGATCAAGTCCAACTTGACCCATGATGCCACCTACTCTCTCTTGGCCTAATATGTGGGCTTTTCCAACTTAGGCCTATTTGTCTTATTGGGCCCAAACCACATATGCTAGAATTCAAGACAACTTAAGGTGTTTGTGTGCGACCCATCAGGCCCAACATAACCACTGACATAAATGGGCTTGGGCCCATTAGGCCTAATCCATCTAATGACAACACAGAGCACTAGCAATGCTTTGTTGTCCCAGAGCTAGTTGAGTTTATCGAATGATCAACCTGTTATACCTATTTGGTTACCGTGTGAATTATCCTTTTGTCTCGGTTATCCATCCCATTGACCTAGGTCAAGGAAAACGTAACAACCCCTGCGGTCTAGGGTTAGCTTTTGGCGAAACAGAGAATCTTCATTACGGACTCTAAAGAGCGGGTCATCTCATGACTCCTTTATTATGTATAGATTCCTGAGTCCTGTAAATGTCATCCCGGTTTCACCGGTCTACGGATAACCAATCTCTCACAGAGATTGACGAATTTCTTTAGCTTGTCACACTAGCCCTGAGTCCTTAGGGCATGCCCAAGAGTATACCTACGAGTCTCCATGTTTCAGGCAGACAAGATATACAATCAAAGCAAGCCTTCCAGAGCACAGATCTATACGACAACTTCAGGTCTAAGGAAAGACACACCCAAATAATAAGATACATTACCTATTGATACTATCTGTGAGATTTTCTTGTAGTGTCTCTTTGTGGGTCAGTTCAGCGCGAGCTATTCTCCAATAGGTCCACCCACGAGTCAGCTAAGACATCTCCATGTCTGCAGCTCACGGGGACTCTACCTTGCATCTCCATGCAAGTAACTGAGTCGTGCTAGTCTTACCCGAGATAACCAATGCCATTATCGGTATATCTAGACTAGGAACATATTTCTGACAACGGATGTGTGGTGTCATTGAGCCCTCATGATCGTGATCCCTATCACAGATCCTCAATGTGACACTCGTTCCATTCCAAGGGCTTTATCCAGTTACTCATATTCAATATTTGAGACATGCAATATGAAACAAGATAAAAAATGCTTTTATTCATAAAATTTATTCATAATTAACAAAGAAGTACATGGGTCCTTCTGACTCTCAGATTATCTCTAGGACACCTATGTACTAACAATATGTGTGACACCAATCTTCTTGCCATGAAGTTTGTCAAGCAGCTCAAACCTCCACAATCTTCGTATCCTTTGACTCGCCTTTGGAGTGCATTAAAATTGGAGGACTATAATGGATTTGATTCTCTATTCATTGGCTTTGCCGTCATCTAATGAACCATCTTGTAGCTCGTCCTCCGTCTCCATAACAAATTCATCATCACAATTTGCTTCTCCATTATGGGGAAGGTTATACTTACAACCTATTTTCGTTTACAACCTCTTACAACCCATATTTTAACCGTTGATTTTCGTCAATTAACGGTTAAGATTTTCGCAAATAAAATTTATTAATTAATTATTAATTCGTAATAAATGATAATTGTTGATTGACAGAAATCAACGGTTGAGATATAGTTGTAAGAGGTTGTAAACGAAAATAGGTTGTAAATATAACCTCCCCTTCCATTATTATGTTCAAGCTACATTTGACATTATACTTATGTTGCTATTGGTTGTCCTCTCCCCAACCTTGTTCCTCTTAGTGCTATATCGGAGTAAATCATCCTCCTCCACCGTTGTTGTCGGAAGTTACCTCCTATGTTCCCATTCTTTCATGGGAGTGATATTTTAGAGGACTCTAAACTTAATTTCATGTAATTTTAAATATGGATTAAGTGTACTATAAAAAGAATCTATATATTATATAAGATTGATAAATAATTATTACATTAATATCTAATAATTTAAAAGATGAAATAAATCATTAATTATTTACTAATAATTTTTCAAAAGGCTTACTTTCTTTTATGGAACTATAAATTATTTTTATTTCAGATTTTCACTTACATGTTTGATGAGGAGCAATGCTAAATAAATAGCCCAAGGACTAAAATTTACCCATTACATCTCAGCAAATTATGAATTGTTAACAGTGTTAAAATCTACAGCTAATTTTAATAAAAAATTACAATATAAAATTTTCAAAAACATTTTACTGTCTTTTTTAAATATTTTGCTTGGTCCCTCTGAACCTCTATTTTAATTTTTGGGCCTTGTTCACCCAGTTCAACTTCTCCAACACAAATGTTATGCATTTTTTTGGAGATAGTTGGGCTCGTCCATAAGGGTTTTGGCTCAATCAAACAACCCAATACGGAATTTTGATTGGTACAAAACCCACCCAAAATCCTACGTCATGGAACTCCTAGTTTATCTACTTGTTAGCTAAAAACAAAACAAAGAAAACGAAAAATCTTGATTACAAAATCCAAAGAACAAATAAGAAATAAAAGACTAAGTTTGAGCTTTTTGACCAATGAAAAGGTATAAACAAGAGACAAACTTTGTTTTCCCGAGTTGTTGAACGCAGATTGATTGTCCTATCACTTAATGAAATGAAGTCATGCTATGCATATGTATTCAATAACATTGTGAATTGGAAAAATAGGCACTGCTTTTAATGTCTTTCAGTTAAGATCACCAAACACCACCAAAGATAGCTTTCTTCCTCAATTGTGCCTCGTTGAGAAGGTCATCATGAGTAAAATTAAGGTACTCTGGGACTCCGAATTGCAGGACTAACTTATTGTAAAAGCAAAATCTTTAGAACAAGAAGAAAAAAAAACAGTACGTTGAGAAATCTTCATATATGTTGATGACCTACCACATGAAAATTTGAATTCCCCTTTTGCACTCCTTTAGAATTTTTTTCTAAAATAACAAAAGGGGTCAAACCAAATCGAACTTCATTAATACAAGATTACAAGTTTTCTCTTTTGAAGGAAAACAAAAGCGCCTTATAATAACATGGTGCTGTAGTGCTTCTTTAGGTGAAGTCTCGTGAAGCATGAAAGCCATGTCCTTGAAGTGTTATAACATGTTGGTCCTTCTGCTTTTGGTTGTCTATCATAACTTTTATGGAAATGTTGCTGCTCAGAAAAATGGCTTAGGAGCTTCTTTCATCTTTGGGGACTCCTTGGTGGATGCAGGAAACAACAACTATCTATCAACTCTCTCTAAGGCAAACATCCCTCCCAATGGAATTGATTTCAAAGCCTCTGGAGGAAACCCCACTGGCCGATACACTAATGGAAGAACCATTGGTGATTTAGTAGGTAATTTTCTCTTCTTTCTCATGCGTCTATGTTTTTGTGTGCACCACCTATTTGTTATAGCATTAATGAACGTTACAACCATCATCAATACTATATTGGTAAAACTCATCGATGCTACAATCATAACATTATATTAGTTTTCCTTGTTAACAAACAATTAACATATTGATTTTGCTAAGCAATAATATTACTTGCATATTTTTTTTTTTATCTTGATATAAATAATATTACAAGAGAAAAAGTATTCTAACAATCTCTTTATTGTTCAAGGAATGCTGATGAGAAAGTAGTGTGCAAGAAACATTTTTTTTTTCTTTTTTAAATATAATGTCTTGCTATTTATTTCTTTTAACCTTTTCAGGGGAGGAATTGGGACAACCAAATTTTGCTGCCCCATTTTTGGCGCCAAATGCAACTGGGAAAACCATACTTTATGGAGTGAATTATGCTTCTGGAGGAGGAGGGATTTTGAATGCAACAGGAAGAATATTTGTCAGTATTAGTAACTCCCTTATTTATTTACTAATTAATCATATTTCTCCAGGTAGATAAGTTATCATCGGTGAGTACAAAACGATGTTGTTTTGTGACGAAAATTAAGATATTTTTGTAATTCTAATTTATTGCAAAGTTATATTAGTTTTTATCATTATAATTTTTTAATTTTACAACCTAAAACGATATGATTTTGGACTCATTGAAGATAACTTTATGACTGGAAACTTTTCCCTTAATCATATTATTAATCATGTTCATAAGAAATATAATTGTTTCTTGTCACGTACTTAAATTGGTTTTCAGGTGAATCGCCTAGGAATGGATGTTCAAATAGATTACTTCAGCATAACAAGAAAACAGATTGACAAACTGCTGGGAGAATCAAAAGCTAGAGAGTACATAATGAAGAAATCCATTTTCTCTATCACTGTTGGGGCCAATGATTTTCTCAATAATTATCTCCTTCCAGTTCTCTCTATTGGAGCGAGAATTTCCCAAAGTCCAGATTCTTTCATAGATGACATGATTAATCATTTCAGGGCTCAACTTACGGTATGCATCTTAATCTAATTAAATTTAACTCTAATTAAACCCCAAAACAAACTAGGGCTAATTGATCAGAAAGAAAAACTTAAAACTTTTCTAGAAGGGTAACTTTGTGTGTTTTGAATGGCAGAGACTTTACCAAATGGATGCTCGGAAGTTTGTCATTGGCAACGTTGGCCCAATAGGCTGTATACCTTACCAGAAGACCATAAATCAGCTGAATGAAAATGAGTGTGTGGATTTGGCTAACAAGCTTGCACTTCAATACAATGCCCGATTAAAGGATTTGCTTGCTGAGCTAAATGACAACCTCCCCGGAGCCACGTTCGTCCTTGCAAATGTCTATGATTTAGTGTCTGAACTCATCACAAATTATGATAAATATGGTAAATAATTCCTTTATTCTTTTCATGATCTATTATAATCTTCATTTAAATGATTGTCTAACTTAACTATCTTAGTTAAATCCATGTTATGATAGTATAATTTTTTTTAAAAGAATCAATTCAATGGAAAATCTTAAATTGATAAACTTCTCTAACTTATCCCCTCAATAAGAGTTCATCGGCTTAAAGAGTGGATAATGCACGAGTCCACCTATTTATGAACTCATGATCATTTATAAGGGTGTAAATGAGTTAGGACAAGTTAGGTTTTAGCTTAAATGAGTTAGGCCTATATAAATTATTTCAAATCTGACTTGACTTGTTAACCTGATACAAATCAAATTATAAGCTTAGCCTGATTTGTTTTAAAAAATATAATGTTTAGCCTAGTCTATCAAGCCTTCAAAAATAATATATTGCACTATATAAATTATAGATTATAATTACTTTCACAATAACTGATCACAATCCGAAATATTGATAATTTAAATGTTGTTAAAAATAAAAAATGATCAATCGGATATGTGTATGTATGTGTGTGTGCACTTGCACATGTATAAACTTTTAATTTATTTTAAATAAAATCAAATTTTAATTTTATAATTAAAAATAATACAATTCGATCCGATTGATTATGCATACGCACATGTTGAGTGTGTGCATATGCGTATGCATGTACGTGGGTGTATGAGCATTCGTGCGTCTGTGAGCACAAAAGTCTTTATTTTAAGACTAAAAAACTATGATATTTAAACATAAAGCAGCAACCGCCAAATAAGTGAAAATCAATCAAGTTAGACTGATAAATTATAAATACATTTGTAAATCAATTTTTAAAATAACAAGTATGTTAGAATTCAAAATTTACACATGCAAGAAGAACAACGATAATGCAACCCAGCGTTGAAGATATCCACCAATTAACTAACCAACTTATATGAGAATTTTCCAATAAAAAATAACTAGATAAATAAAGAGAAACAAACAAAATAATAAAAGGCAAACATAAACATGTGTCCAACAAAGTTGAACAATATATCATTTTAGTGAGAGATTATATTTATCATTATTTTAAGTTTAACACTCTTACTACTTGTTTGATTATCGATGGATTAATTTAAAATCAATGGCAATCAATTTTTTTTCTCTTTTTTGATCATTGATTTTAAATTGATCCAATGATAATCAAACAAGTAATAAGAGAGATAAGCCTAAAATGATGGTAAGTATAACGAGGGATGTAAATAGGTTGGCCTCTTTAAGGCAAGACCTGTATAAAATATTTTAAGTCTGACCTAATCTATTAGCATTGTATATGTCCAAATTATAAATCTAACCTGACCAATATTTAAAAATAAAAATCTTAACCTAAACCTGTTAACCTATTTAAACTTAACAGATATTCAATAATTAAAAGTTCATAAGACATACCTATCTTGTTTTTAAGGGAAATATTAGTCTCATGTTATATGAGAGTAATTCTCTTATGTTATAAAGATAATTCAAGTGGGGTCCACCATTAAAAAACAAAAAAGAAAAAGAAAAAAAGAGAAAATGCAATTTTCGAAGTGAGAGAAAATGATATAACTATTTCATGTAGAGTAATATTTCCCTGTTTTTAATTATATATTATTTTGCAGGATTCACAACAGCATCTAAAGCTTGCTGCGGAAATGGGGGCCAATTTGCAGGGATAATTCCATGTGGGCCTACTTCTAGCATATGCAATGATAGGTACAAGCACGTGTTCTGGGATCCTTATCATCCAAGTGAGGCTGCAAACCTAATCCTCGCCAAGCAGCTACTTGATGGAGACAAGAGATACATATCTCCTGTGAATCTTAGGCAACTTCGGGATCTTTGATCTTTGATCTTTTGTTGTTGTTTCCCTACCTTAATTTGCCTACAAAATTACACACATATGTTTCCTTTTATATTTTTTTCCCCTAGTCTATCAGTACCAAATTGTGGCTCTCAACAACAACTTTTGCTGTGGTTGCCTACTTTATTTACTGCAATTAAAGTACATGTAATTCTACAATCGAGATTTGCTTCCCCTTTCTTTTTTCAATGTATTTATTATGGTTCTAAGTTTCAATTATATACGTTGATAAGTTAATTGACCCTGGTGATGCACTTGAGTACTTCAAAAGAAAATGACTAGTTTCAAGTAGATATAGGGAGAATTTCATTTCCTTGTTCCTATTGATTGTGACGATTTTGAAATAGATAATACTAATAGAAGGAAGTTTATATTTTCCACAACTTCCTCGCCTTAGTGGTTTAAAAAGTCTAACCAAACCAACCTATGTCTCACATGATTCTCAATCCATCTATCTAATTTTTAGGTGAAACTATCCGTCTATCTTTTATTTTTGTTGGAACATGCATGATTGAAGGCAACGAAAAAAGTTAAAGATAAATTATGCATAATTCTCTTGAACTGCATAATTCTTATACTTTTTCATTTCTTTTAACTAATTTTCTGAAGTTATTTTGAATAACTAATCATGGATGAAATATTATAATGAGATAAAAGAAAACAAAATTATTATATCATTGTTTGAAATTTTTATGATGAAATAGAGGAAAATTTCTATTCTATTGTTTGGAAAGTGAATGAAATAATAAGAAAATTAGTAAATATATAATTTTGAGGGACTAATGTTTCTCATATTATATGAGATAATTTTATCTACTATACACACACATAAAAATGTGTGGCGTCTATATTTTTTTTCTTTCTCTTCTATTCAGAGAGACCTATATGGGCTTCAAATATTTTTATGTATATACAGGAGATAAAATTATCTCATATCATATGAAAAACATTAACCCCAACTTTTAGATGAAATGGAATGTAGTAGATTCTATATAAGTTCTATTCTAGTACACTATATTCTAAAAAATAATAATTAATGTCGTTGTGTTCCACTTTTCCTTTTTTTTTTTTGTCAATCCAAACATAATTTTTCTTGTACCACTTAATTCTAACTTTTATTTAAGTTAAAAATGTAATTTTTTAATTAATTTGAAATAGTTACATGTGTCTTAACACTCTCTCAACTTGCCCCTTAGGGACTGTTTGGTACACTGTAATCCTATAGATGACTAGGAAAGTGGAAGTTGAAAATTTTTATTCCCACATTTGGTAGAAGAAAAACATAAAATTTTAATGGGTATAGTTTTTCCCTGGCTTGGCTTCCATATTACACTATCAATTGTGAATTTTGATTACCATGTAGAACATGGTAATTATTTGTTCCCAGGTCTTGTTTTGTGTTTCACAAATTTATCAGACTAAATTACCCTTGAACCCCAGCTTATCACTTGCGTCAAAAAAACTAATCCTATGTAGTAACTTTTGCTGATGTTGATTGCATCAAAATCTGATGCAAGTGGCAGCATTAAAATTAAAACAATTAGGAAAACAAACTGCATATATTGTATCTCATAACTTCTTATTTTATGAAAGTAATCATGTTTCTTAAAAAATTGCAAAAAAAAAATTTGTGTGTCATACTTTACATGAAATAGGAAAATGTGTTGAATTCATCTAAATAGAGGCTCCAAGATATGAACATAACTTGTTGTCTATAGGATATAAATTATTTTGCTTGTGAGCGTATGTATATTTTAAGAGAAATTTCATCATATTATGAGGGTAGTGTAGTAAAATTTCATCATATTCCCAACAATATTTTGTTATCAACCAAACAGCCTTTCAGAAAAATTAATCAATATTTTCAGTAATATTTTCGCCTACCAAACACTTTTTTCGTAATATTTCAGGAAATTTTTTGTTCCCATATTTCAAGTAATCGTGATTCCTGAATACAAAAAAAAATTTCCAGTACCAAACGCCCCCTTAAAGTTTATTTTTTAACCGACAAACTCCTTTATATCTTTTTTTTTTTTTTTGGATAACAACTCCTTTATATCTTTTTTTTTTTTTTTTTGATAACAACTCCTTTATATCTTTATATACAAAGTTGTGAACACACAATACTTGTTAGCTATAGAGCTTTGACAATAATTAATAACTTGCACACAAAGTGCAACATAATGAATATATAGATATCAATATTGCTCGATCCAAACACATAGTGATTAATATGAGATTGAGAATCATTGTATTTATGGTAGAGACATCCGTAAAGGATGACAAATAACTATATACAAAAATTGAAATTGAAGTTAATCGAGGAGGTGGTGTGTACGCAGAATGACACATTAAAGAGACTAGAATTTTAATTATAAGTGTATATCTTTAGAATCTATCCTTTTATTTATGGGGTAAATTATATTTATAAATCTTTTATTTTATGTGTTTCCCCAAATACATTCCAATCCGAATGTATTTTTAAAAATACATAGTTAAATTTATAAACAAAAAATTTGTAAATATAATATATTTTTTCTTTTATTATAGAAATTTATCTTTAGTAAATAAAGCTAATATTTTTTAGAGTCTCGATCTGGAAACGTTATGTTGGTCCAGAATAAACTATCAACAGATCTACTATCACTAACCCCAAAAACATTTTGTTACCGTTGGCCCAAATACAAACTTCTATTATTACTGAGCCACAAACAAGGTGCAATATATTGAATGCTAAGGTACAGTGGCTTGGCTACACAGTACATGTGCATTACCTATGATGTGTATATAAATGACGAAGAGCAGATTTGCAATTATCCCGTGAGACTATCTTTTCAACGTTAACCAAACTATAGGAGGTTTGGTGGGAAAAAAAACTTTAGAGGGGTAATTAAGTTGATTTTTTTTTTGTCAAACTGGAATTAAATTTAATCGAAAAATTAACTTTTTAAATATAAATTAGAGTTGAGAAGAGTTAAGTGATGCCAAAAAAAAAAACTTGTGGTGATTAGTTAAACAAAGGATGAAAATATTTAGGGTTATGTGTAATGTATCCAAAAATTTTGGATGATTATACATGTGTGTGAGTGGTAAGCATTTAGTATATCATGATTATTCATGTGTGTGAGTGGTAAGCATGTAATTAAAATCATATTATATGAGCAGCTTACCAAAAAAAAATAAAAAAAATCATATTATATGAGTAAAGGCATGAAATTTCTTGATATTCAACTATCAATCATGTCAATCTGAACATGGAATAGAGGCAGAACAACCTAATTGTTACGAAGAGGAGCTCCACACGTGTGAGAAGTTACCCAACTAAACTCAATGATTACGTGGCTTAGCAGTTGAGCAGTTAGAAGATAGTTGAGTCAATATAGAAGTTAGCTAGTCAACAACAGTTGTAATAGTTAGTTAATTGAATGACCAGAATATAAAAGCTGGTGATGTAAGAAACAAAGGTATCAAATAAAATTTTCCTTGAATTGTTCTTCTTCCCTTCTCTTCCTTATTCTTAGGATTCCATCCCTAACAATTTGGTGCTTTCATTCTTGAACACCACCATCTTCATGATGCGGGTTCAAGATCTTGCAGAGGAGTTCTCCACTTCTCAACAATGAGTAGATGGACGCCTTGCGGATCACCAGATACAAATGACTCGCGTTGAGTCACGACTTGAAGATCACCAAGCGCAGATGAATCGAGTTGAAGCTAGGTTGGATGAAAATTAGAATCAGATGACACTGATGCTAGCGCAATTGCAGCAACTCAGGCCTTCAGTCGACTGAAAGAGGTCACGACTAATACTCCAGTATTGGTCTTACCAGATTTCAAGCTACCTTTTGTCATTGAAACTGATGCATAAAACACTGGGGTAGGGGCTGTCCTCGTACAACAGGAGAGACCTCTAGCATTTTTTAACAAGAAGTTAGGAAGCAGGATGGCAAATGCATCTACATACGTAAGGGAACTTTATGCCATAACAGTAGCAGTTAAAAGGTGGCGCCAATATCTCCTTGGATCCTTCTATACTATAAGGACCAACCATATAAGTATTAAGGAATTGCTTAATCAAACCATCCAAACTGCAGAACAGCAGAAGTATTTGTGTAAGTTGATGGGGTATGCATTCCATATTGAATACAAGGTAGGAAGCTCCAATATAGTTGCGGATGCATTATCAAGGAGCCATGAAGAAGCATCAGTAAATGCCTTGTTCTCTGAACCAGTATTTGAAGTCTTAGAGGAAATTAAACAACAGAATGTAGAAGATCCATATTTAATACATTGTCATCAACAGGTGAAGGATGACCTGAATGCAGTGACTTCTTGACAGTAAGAGAAGGCATTGTGTATCATAAGAACAGATTCCTTCTGAGTCCTAAATCTTCTCTAATTCCTGGTTTAATTCGAGAAGCACATGCATCCCCTGTGGGAGGTCATGCTGGAATAGCACGCACCTTCCTGCGTATATCAGCAAAAAAATTTTGGACTGGTATGAGGGAGGATGTGAAGCAATTTGTTAGAGAATGCTAAATTTGTCAACAAGTCAAGTACGAGACCAATAAACCAGCAGGATTACTTCAACCCTTACCAATTCCAGAAGGAATATTTATGGATTTGTCTATGGATTTCATAGTGGGTTTACCACCTTCTAATGGGAGCTGCACGATATTGGTGGTTGTTGACAGGCTATCAAAATTTGCCTACTTTGGGAAGCTTCCTCGCTCTTATACATCAGCAGTGGTAGCTCAATTGTTTTGTGATATAGTTGTCAGAAATCATGGTTTTCCTCGCTCCTTATTGACTGATAGAGATCCAATTTTTGTAAGCCAATTCTGGTCCCAATTGTTAAAGTTGAGTGGAACCAAATTGCGTACTACTTCCTCTTATCATCCACAATCCGATGGACAAACAGAGGTTACCAATAGATATCTAGAATAGTACTTGAGCGCCTTCTGTCATGAACAACCATTACA